ACTGGAATGGCTGTGGAGTTGCCCATTACAAACACTATTTTTTACCAGGTGATCTTTTTGCAAAAATATGTTTACACATAGGGCTTTTTGCCTGAAAAGTAAATGCACAGTTTGCTGTTCTCCTGTCCAGCAAGGAATCGTTTTCTCATGTTTTACTTTCAGTAGTATAGTCATCATGCAGTGGAATGTGTAGGAAATTACCTACTAAAGTGAGAATGTAAGCATTTTGGCAAATAGCTTTGACTTCTGAACTAGAAAACTCTGAAAACTGAAGTTCAAGGCAAAGATTAGTGTAGTTTTTTATGATCTTAATGTTATTTCTGTGTGTACTGAAGGAGGGGCAGGATGGATTTTTCCCTGTTACTCCTCTGTAAAGGTTTTGACAGAGCACAGACTTAATAGAGCACAGACTAGTAGAGAATGCAAGAAACTGTTAATATCCCCAAAACCAAGGGAATTTTCTATTCTTCTGAGATAATTATAGCAATAATTACAGCTGTATACCTTTAAATGAGCAACCTGGACGTCTGCTGAAGTATGGCGTATGAGATGATAGCTATGATGTGGTCCTATTGTGGGCAGCCTAAAGGGATTTAACGTGGTATGTAAAAATATATAGCCTTGCCTTTCAGAAGGTTTATTTTTATTTGTATAACAAAGCACTGTGTTTAATATTAAAATGTCAGTCTGGATTTAACTTGGCAGATTCAAGAAGCTTCCATTATTTCTGCAGTCAAAATATACTAGTGTGTGGCAGTATTCCTGGCCAGTGGATTCCAGGAATCCCCCCCTCCAAGCAGTGTATTTGTTTTAGGGGGGACAGTGGTCAATTTCAGACATAGATGTGTTGTAAAATTGGAATATTTGGGGAGGAGACTAAAACAATGAAATCTGCAAAAATATTTGACTATGCCATTTATTTTTTTTCTTATGCAAAAATTTGGAACACATGAATATTACTGTTCTTGTTTTTAAATTCCTTCCCTTTAGCATTATTAAGGCACAAGCCAAAATAATTGCAAGTGAATATGAGATTACTACAAGCCGTTCTTAAATACACAATGTTAATATTTTTTCTTTTAATATGTTCTGTTAGATGTATTACGTTTTATGTACACATTGTATTTATAAAAGATTTATGTAAACATTGTAGCTCTAACGAGGCTACAAGAGCATCCTATAGGACGTTTATGAGATCCTATGAGATGGCAGTCAAGGCTGTGAAGAGGGATTTCTACGCAGCCAGGGATGCATCTGCTAGCTCTCGCCCAGCCCAACTATTTAAAACAATTCGGTCCTTGATGGCTCTGCCACAGGGCAGACAAAACGATAGGGAATTGAATATTGGCTGTGAGGCTTTTGCGAGCTATTTTGCGGATAAAGTCCTGTCGCTCCGCCGCGACCTCCCCGCCACAGTTGAAACAGTTAGTGAACTCGAGGCCCCTTGCGCGTCTTCGTGTCTGGGTTTAGAATGCTTCAACCAGCTCAGCTTGGAGAAAGTTGACAGGTTACTCGTATCTGTACGTCCAACCACGTGCGACCTTGATCCGTGCCCCTCCTGGCTCGAGGTGCCTTGAGGGAGATTGTTAACAAGTCCCTCTTGGAGGGGCGGTTCCCCGAGGCACTCAAGGAAGTGATGGTCTGCCCTCTCTTGAAAAAACAAACTCTGGACCCGGCCGAATTGGCCAACTATCGGCCGGTGTCCAATTTGCCCTATTTGGGCAAATTGATTGAGAAGGCGGTGGCGGTTCAGGTACAGGGTTACCTGGATGACGTTTCTATCCTTGACCCATTCCAGTCCTGCTTTCACCCGGGACATGGGACGGAGACAGTACTGGTTGCCCTGACGGATGACCTCCGTAGACACCTGGATCGAGGTGGTGTGGTGGCGCTGTTGTTGTTAGATCTGTCAGCCGCGTTTGATACGGTCGACCACCTGCTGCTGGCCCATCAGGGTTAGGGCTTCCGCTCCCGACCTTCGATGGGGCACCTTTGGTGCCAGCTTCGGAGGTTAGGAGTTTGGGAGTGCTCCTGGACCCCACCTTAACGATGGAGGCCCATGTGGCGGCCACTGCCAGATCAGCCTTTTATCATCTTCAGCTGATATGGCAGTTGGTTCCTTTCCTTGACCGTAATGACCTAGCTACAGTGATCCATGCAACGGTCACCTCAAGGCTAGACTACTGTAACCCTCTCTACATGGGGCTGCCTTTGTCGCAAATCCGGAAGCTACAGCTGGTGCAGAATGCTGCGGCCAGGTTGTTGGTGGGCGCCCCGAGCTGGGAGCACCTGTGCTGAAAGCGCTGCACTGGCTGCCTATAGCATACCGAATTCGCTTCAAAGTGCTGGTGCTTACCTTTAAAGCCTTACATGGCCAGGGTCCGACTTACCTGAGGGACCGCATTTCCCCATATATTCCCCAAAGAGCACTTCGGTCGGGGTCGCAACACCAGCTGGTGACCCCGGGCCCTAGGGAGGCCAAGCTTGTGGCAACAAGGGCCAGGTCTTTTTTTGTGGCAGCTCCTACCTGGTGGAATGAGCTCCCGGGGGAGATCAGGGCCCTGCGGGACCTTATGCAGTTCCGCAGGGCCTGCAAGACGGAGCTCTTCCGCCAAGCTTATGAGTAGGAGCCGCCACGGCCACTACCACCACCGCTTCTTTATTGAGAGAGACCACTGGGCGGGTGGGGTAACATCTTCCATTACCCCAGTCTTCCCCACTGTGTGCAAGATGTTAGGAGCCTATTTATGCATCTGTAGAACTGATTTTAAATTGTTTTAATCTTGTATTTCGTAATTTGTATACCGAATGCACCAGGTGCCTTATGTGAGCCGCCCTGAGCCCGTTCGCGGGGAGGTTGGGGTATAAATGTCATAAAATAAATAAATAAATAAAAGATTTATTTTTATGTTCACACTTAACTCCTGACTTTCAGCCTACCAGGAGCCATCAAGGCATATCACACTTACAATGATCAAACAATAACCACAATACTAAAACAACTGAAACAGTAATCAGTGTCCTAAGTCATACTTTGATAATGATACTCTGGAAATAATGTGGAGTTATCATGACTATTGGTATAGAATCCAAGCATGAGTTGATGTATTTTGCTTATCTATTGCTTACAGTTGCCTACAGTTTGACATGCAGCTTGTTAACTTTAAATCTCGTGTCTTCACTTTATAGCTTCTTGCTCTCTCTATTTGGATCTTTAATCAGCAATACCAGAAAGCAAATAAGAATTATTGCTACAGGGCAGGTCATATAACTGGATTATAAAGGAGATCTGAACAGTTCCTCCTCAGGAATTAAGGTCACAGGGAGAGGCCCTCCTGACCATCCCATCAATCAACGAAGGTGGTTTGGTGGGTACACGAGAGAGGGCCTTTTCAGTGGCAGCCCCAAAATTATGGAACAGCTTCCCCAAGCAGGTGCACTTAGCCCCTCACTTTCAATCTTTAGGAGGCTGTTGAAGATGGTTTTATTTAAGGCGGCATTTGATTAAATTTCCAGCAGTCCTAAATTGTGATTTTAAATTTTGGTTTTTATGTATTTTATGTATTCAATTTAAGTGTTTTATCTATATTGTAAGCCACATTGACCTCCATATGGAAAGGCATCTAATAAATGCTTCAAATAAAATTTAAAAAATTAAAATGTAAGCTTTCACAGAATAGAAATATTTTGAACTTATTGGGAAATGTGCAAGACAGAAATAGTGAGTGGCTGCAGTGAGGAGAGAGAATCAGGTGAAATTGATCTTTCTGTTGTCTCTACCAGCAACACTTGCATGGCTTTTTGTCCATGTAGGCCCCCTCCAACGCCTAATATTGCATCAACTCCATCATCTCTTGGTCCTGAGCAGGCTGTGACTAGATTATCAGACTAGACTACCAATTGAATTCTGGGTCCGGTTCAAGGTGTTGATTTTAAACTTTAAAACCCTAAGAGGTCTGGGACCAACATACCTTCAGGACCATCTCTCCCAGTATGTCCCTCAGAGAGCATTGCACTCTATGGATCAGCATATACTGGTGATCCCTGACCTGGAGGATGTCCACTTACCCTCGACCAGGGGTCATTTCCTGCAGGAGCGCACAGGAGCAGAGCTCTGGCAGTAAAGAGGCCAGGGGGCAGGCACAATGCAACAAGCCCCACCCCCTGCTCCCAGTAGCCCTCAGTCAGAGCAAGAAGCAGCCAGGTAAACTGCAGAGCCCCCCCCCTCCGGTCCAAAACAGTCCAGTGGCACCTTTAAGACCAAGTTTTATTCAGGTACAAGCTCTCCCTCCTCTGCAAGGACAGATCTGCGCACCCCTCCCCAATAGCTAGCAATCCAAAACAGTCCAGTGGAGCCTGAGCAGTGGGTGTTGCCTTCTGCCACGCTTCCGGTGATGTCAGGGGTGTGGCATATGCAAATAAGTTATGCTAATGAGCTCCTGCATCTCTTTTTCTACAAAATGACCCCTGCCCTCGACCATAGCCAGAGCTTTCTCAGCTCTGGTGCTGTACTGGTGAAACAGTCTCCCAAGTGTGATCTGGGTCCTGCAGGACTTGATTCAGCTCCACCAGGCCTATGGTTGAGGCGGCAGGAACCCAAACTGTACTGGCCTCCCCCTGCTCTGTTCCATGTGCACTGCTTCCATCTTGCATTGATTTTGTCTGCCCGGCCCTCCTCAACTTTAGTTACATCTACCTGCACACATATAGGTAGTTCCAGGAGCAAATGAATTTTTGGTGCCATTTGGTGTCTATTAGTATAAATTGAGATAGTGACTTTTAAATTGTTTATTATGTCTTAGCTGGTTTTATTGTTCTATTTGTATAATGATATAGTCTGCCCTGAGCCTGCTTGCTCAAATATAATTTGTCACGGCTGCTGTAGTGAAATGCCTCTGTGGGGGGTTCTTCCTTTGTGATAATGCTGTTTTCAGTTTATAAAACATTTTTGACTGTGTGTGATGTGTCGTTGTGACTGTTCTGTGCTTAATTTTCTCCAGGTTTACTGGGCCAGATGGGCCAAGTGGTTTTGGATTTGAACTTACATTTCGACTTAAGCGTGAAACAGGGGAATCTGCACCACCTACGTGGCCAGCAGAGTTAATGCAAGGCTTAGCTAGATATGTCTTCCAATCAGGTATCGTACCTTTAAATTGTTTGCTTTGTATTTAATTGTTAATATAGTACCTGATTTTTTGACACCTGGGTATATTTATTCGCTGTGTGACAGTCTTCATTTCTGTGATCTCTTATTTCCTAAGCTCTTTATTTAGGTATGGTTTGCATGACTGATCAACAGAATTACAATTCAAAAACATTTTTAACTGCAAAAGTAGTGAATAGAAGCAATAATGCTTTCTTAGGGGTTGTTTTGCAGTACTGTTCCATGATCTGCTTTTTTAAGGAACAGATCTTCTCCATGTCCATTGTACTCTCTAGAAAAGGGCTCTCTGGATTGATTTTTGTAATCTAGAAGTCTCTTAATAGGTGGCAAAATGGACTTCTGATTTTTGTTCTGTAGTGAATTTGCCATATAGAGTCCTCTTTTCATCATGTACTTAGACGTTAGCGGCTTGATCTGCGTTTTTGTTACTGAAAATAATGCTTAAAATGCATTTGTATGTTGTGTTTTTCTTCTAATGAACAACATTGCTCTTCATGTATAAAAACTTCCTTATCTGTGAGTGGTGCTTAATGTGTAAACTTAGTTCAGGTTCTTCTTTTTTGGATAGATGCAATAATAAATGTTTATAATTTATAGTTTCTTGGACTCTTGGTGCTATGCAATAGTTAAAATAGAAGAAATAAAGTTGTGAGAAGGGGAATCATATTTTTAATTAAGTAAATCTTTGCTTGTTTCTTGCAAGGAGTACTGATAAATGATAATTAGATATGGCATTTAACCTGCTATGTGCCCTTCCACTCAGGCAGAAGCTTTGTACAGCAGCATTTAAAAGCTCAAGACTGTTAACATGGCTTAAATATAGTCGTATTTTCATAAATATAGAACATGAGAGCCTGCATGGTATACTGGTTAGAGTGTCAAACTAGTATCTTGAGACACTGGGGTTTGAATCCCTACTGTGCCAGGAAAGCTTGCTTGAGGGACCTTGCCCAGTTATACATTCTCAGCCTAGCTTTTATTTTATTTATATTTAAATTTATATCCCACACCTCCCCACCATAGCAGGCTCAGGGCGGCTAACAACATATTTATAAACAAATACATTAAAATATATATTAAAACAACATTAAATTAAGATTACAATATAAAAACATGATCATAATGATCATAATACAAGATGGCAACCTTCTGTCTTCATTCATTTGAGTGGCCGCCTCCCAGGCTCTGCCAGGCTGTTACTCATTTGGCTGGTAAAGGTGTTGATGTTACGGCCAGGTTGGTGAAGATGTTGATATTAGGGCCAGGGCTACTTCACAGGGTTATTGAGAAAAACGATGGAAGCTGCTTTCAGTCTCCATTGGGGTGGAAAGGGAGGATATAAATGAAGTAAAAAATTTTTAAATGTAAACTGAAATTGCTTAACAGATACGTTGGTAAGATTTTTTGAACTGTAGAAACGTATCTAACTTTTTGTGAAAGGTATGCATATATTGTCTTTCTGAGCTTAACTTTTAAGTTAAGGAAAGTTTCATCTTTGTGTCCTTAAGCCAGTGTGGTCTAGTAATTGGAATTTTGGATTAGTAGGGGGTGTTGTGAGTTCAAATCACATTCAGCTACAAAACTCACTGGGTGTTCTAAAGTGAGTTGCTCACCAGGAAAATTAGAATGATCTAAATGTAGTGTATAAATGGCTGAAGAACTTTCTGGCAAAATTTAGCAAAACCCTGCCTTCAGTATACATAGAAGAGCGTACTAGTCAACGGAGGAAGGAAATGAATGTGTTACAGTGAAGCCTCATGGAGCATGTTGCATAGAGGCAATATGAACAATAAAGCCAGTCACCCAGGCAGCCTGAAGATCTTCTGCCTGAACGTTGGCAAGGGAGGGAATTTATTGCTCCTCCCTCCTTGACACTTTGCCTGCTGCTGAGCCCACGTTTTGGGGACTGCGAGTTGTGCTTGACAGCCTTGGGCTGTAGGTCAAATCTGAATGGCCTAGTGGTTTTCCCAACTTTCTTCAGTTTAAAATTTTGCAATGAGTAACTCATGATCTGAGCCACAGTCAGCTCCAGGTCTTGTTTTTACTGACTGTATAGAGCTTTTCCATCTTTGACTGCAAATGATATAATCAATCTGATTTCAGTGTTGCCTATCTGGTGATGTCCATGTGTAGAGTCGCCTCTTAGGTTGTTGGAAGAGGGTGTTCGCTATGACCAGCGTGTTCTCTTGACAAAACTCTGTTAGCCTTTGCCCTGCTTCATTTTGTTCTCCAAGGCCAAACTTGCCTGTTATTCCAGTTACCTTTTGACTTCCTACTTTAGCATTCCAGGCCCCTATGATGATAAGGACATCTTTTTTTGGTGTTAGTTCTATGGAGTGCTGTAGGTCTTCATAGTACTGGCCCACTTCAGCCTCTTCTGCGTCAGTGGTTGGGGCATAGACTTGGATTACTGTGATGTTGAATTGTTTGCCTTGGATTTGAACCGAGATTGTTCTGTTGTTTTTGGGATTGTATCCCATTACTGCCTTTCTCACTGTCTTGTTGACTATAACGGCCACACCATTTTTTCTACAGGATTCTTGGCCACAGTAGTAGATAGAATGGTCTTCTGAGTTAAATTCGCCCATTCCCATCCACTTTAACTCACTGATTCCCAAGATGTCGATGTTCAGTCTTGCCATCTAATTTTTTACCACGTCAAGCTTACCTTGATTTTTATAGATCTTACTTTCCAGGTTCCTATGCAGTATTGTTCTTTGCAGCACCGGACTTTCCTTTCACCATCTGCATGGATCCCTCATAGATCACTGCCTTGATGTGGCGAGGGGGCTTGCGGGGTTCGATGAGGCTGTGGGCTATGCCATGGAGGGCCACCCTGGACAGACAGGCCACAGCAGAGCTCGGAAAAAGTGTGATTCACTGGAGAAGGAAATGGCAACCCACTCCAGTATTTTCCAAGAAAACCCCATGGACAGTAACAAAAGGCTGAAAGATATGACACTGGAAGATAAGCCCCTCAAGTCGGAAGGTGTCCAATATGCAATTGGGGAGGAGAATGCAGTCCTAATCAGTCTCAAATGGAGTGATAGGATGGGGTCGACTTTCCCCCCTAAGCATCTTTCAAGCAGTTTGTCAAAGCTCTATATTGCTACCCATATTTACATGAAAAGAAGACAGCCCTGAATGTAAGATGACCCATGCCGAAAAGTTATATGCAAAGTGTCTTATTACTATAACTTTCATACTAATTTAGCACATGAGGGTTTTTTTTGGGGGGGGGTTGCCGTCAAGTCACAGCTGACATGGCAATCCCATGAGGTTTTCAAGGCAAAAAACATTCAGAGGTGGTTTGCCATTGCCTGCCTCCGCATCTCAACCCTGGTATTCTCATCCAAATACTGACCAGGGCGGATCCTGCTTAGCTTCCAAGATCTGACAAAATCAGGCTAGCCTGGGCCATCCAGGACTGGGCTTAGATAAATAGGGCATTATATAATTGTATAGCATTTGACCTTCTATGTGCATGACAAAAGCAGCAAACCCAGGCTACCAACAGACAAGGCCGAATCCTCTACCTACTTGAGAGTCCCCGGCTATGAAGGAAAATATAATTTTGTAAATTAAGTGAAAGGGGAAAATATAATCCCCCCCTTTCCCCCTGACCTGGAGAAGGTTAAAAATTCTCCAGAAGAGATGGAATGCTGAGAGTTAAAGGGAGAAAAAAGAGAAGCTAGAGGAGATCATCTCCTCAGGCCTCTGAGCTCATAGAATACTGGGGGCAGTGAGTGATTTGGGGAAGATATATAAATCCCCCCACCAGTCTCTCATGCTTCCTATCTTGTCATGATTTATGTTACAAGTGTGTTCTTTCCAGAATTGTACCTTATCATTCTGTAGTAGAGTTAGCACATGCTTTATGCTGGGAAACTGTACATTTTGTAAATGTGGAATGATCAAGCCTTAATATGAGAATTTTAAATATCCTTGCTAGAAAAAGAATGGCACTTGATTGGGCAGGCACTTAACATTTTATACTTGTACCTAGCAATATTGATTCCCCCTCAAATCTTTGTGTTTCACAAATTAGTTCTAGTATATAGGAAACTGAAATGTTTTTTCTAGTTGACTTATGTATTGTGTTTTTAAAAATAATCTCCTGTGACTTCAATATGCTTGAGCAAATTGATAATCGTTTTTGGCAAGTGTAGCCTGAAAGACTTCAAATGCTTAAGGTTCTTTAGAATCCAGGTAGTTAATTGTGCATAGTAAGATAATAGGGTCTGCCTTCTGTGTAGAGCAGGGCCTCTGCTGTTGATTAGGCTGTAAGAATATTATACCGTGTTTCCCCGAAAATAAGACGCTGTCTTATATTTATTTTTTCTCAAGAAGACACACTAGGGCTTATACCACAAATGCATAGAAATCCTGCTAGGGCTTATTTTGGGGGTAGGTCTTATTTTCGGGGAAACAGGGTAGTTCCTGGTCTTGAATCCTGCACTGTCACTCCCTTCTCCGGTGATGGGCTTGAATGGACGAGTATTTTACTTGTGTGAATCATCCAAACTGTATTTAAAGGGATTATAGAAGGGCTGAATTTCATGGAACTACTAAGCTTGATCATCACTTTTCCCCAGCAGTTTAAAGATATCTGTCTCCACAGCCACAAGTCCTTCATAGCGCCGAAATTTATTATATTTTTTCATGCTTTAAAAATATTGATTTTTTTCACTTTGGTTCCTGAAATATATTTTCCACAGACACTGCAGTGTTAACAAGTATACGTCTCCACCAAAACCATCATGGAAAAATCCAGATTCTGTTTATGATAAGCTTGAATTGAGTCTCATTTATTCTCAGGCTTGTGTGTGTGTGCAGCCAAGATGGAAGACTTCCTGATTTAGAAAGACTCTAACATAACTTCAGTTTGTTGCAACATCAACATTTAAACACTCAACAAATTCCAGTTTCTTTCTTTACCCAAGAAACAAACCTTGATGTCTGGCAAGATAAAC